ATGAATAATAAATCTTTATCATGAATAAGGAAATATGATAATAATCAATTTATTATTGCCTCTAGGGCATATTTCCAACACTTCTACCCTGATTGTGCTTACGGTTCCCAGAAAGTTCTTCGCTGAAGTGGACAAGATCGGACATCGTTTTCTTTGGGCTCAAGACGAAGAGCTCACTGGGGGAAATGTAAGGTCAGTTGGCCGGTGGTATGCACTCCGACCGACAACCGCGGCCTCAGCAACCCAGACCTGACACGGTTCAGCAGAGCACTTAGGCTCAGATGCCTCTGGCACTCGTGGGCAAACCCTGAAAGGCCATAGGTGGGCACGCAATTGTCATGCAATGAAGGCGACAGAGCCCTCTTCAGTGCATCCACCACAGCGAGCTTGGGCAACGGCAAAGCGGCCAATTTCTCGAACTGCTCCTGGACTGGTTGTGGCACACCTTGAAGATGGACTACCCAGAGCTTTTCAAGCACTCCAGGAGGAAGAACGGGATAGTGAAGGAAGCTCTGACAGATGGCACTTGGATCGCGGATCTTGCCCATGGCAACGCTCAACCTCCCTTGCCCGAGGTAATCAGACTGCACAGATGGCTTACCTCAAAAAAATATGCAGCTCAATGACCAGCTCGGAGGCATAATCAAGTGGAACCATGAAGCCTCAGGCATTTTCTCCACAAATTCGGCATACAAATTCCAATTTCAGGGGCTGATCAAGTCAAGTTTTAGAAAACTGTTCTGCCAGGCGTGGGCACCGGCTCGCCCCAAAAAATTTGTCTGGTTGATGCACAAGAATAGACTATGGTGCAACTATCGTCTTCAGAGAAGAGGCCGGCCAAATGAGTATTTCTGCCAGCTGTGTTTAAGAAATCTAGAAAGCTCTGAACACCTATTCTGGAAGTGCCCCTCCTCATTTTCAGTTTGGTCAAAGGCGGCTAGTGGTTTTTGATGCAACTCACTTCATCCTGACAATTGGCAGAGCAACACAAAAGTGGCTGACATCACAAAAGAAATTATCTATGGAGCAAGACTATAACACAAAAAGGTTGTAAGATCGATGTTCATCATGATACTTGGAGAAATTTGGCATCAACGAAACGAGTGCACTTTCAGAAGAAGAAAAAAAGGTGGCCAGTTCGGCGAATATCACAACAAGCATCAGAAGAACCCTTGAGCTTTGGTGTCAGACAAGAGCAACCCTCTCAGAGCACCCATTTGGGGACCCGCCGTGAGTAGTGGTGGTTATGTATCGACTGAGGGGTAAACGGTTTACCATAAACCTATTTTCTTCTTTTTACCTCCTTGATCACTCGATCAGAAAACCACCTTCTGCATTTCCTGCTTGCTCTTTGCTATTGATCAATATGTGCCGGCCATCAGCTGGATCTTTAAAAAAAAACTATAGTCCTTTGGGGCTGACTAGAGTCTTTTGTGGCTTAAGTGTACAAGTAAAATGGCCTATTTTGTGTACTCCAACTCCAATGATTGTTCAGTAGCAAGACGTGTTGTTGCAGAATTTGCACGCTGAGTACTGTGCGGCAGCCTATAATTTGCTCGTGTAATACTAGTGCTTGTCTTTAGCAATATTGTTGGGCTGTTGTTTCTTTCAATGTTAAGCACTGAATGAATGGACATGGTCATGTACAGCATATAGGATTGTTGTTTTTCGCTATTTTTAAGCTTAACTGGTTAGCGTTGTTTCATCTCTAATGCGATGAAAAATGAATGTTTTGTTCGTATCGTCAACTGCCTAAAGATGTGCAAGTATGGATCTTTTTTTAACCTCTCTAATGGGTGGCTGATGGCTGGATGTGCTGATGTATCGATTGATGCATGCTTGAACTGCGCCAGTTCTCAGTTTCAATGAGAATGAGTACAGACTCAGCAAATAGGATGCAGATTCTACTATGGCAAACCGTCCACTGTAAAAAAGAATTAACAGTTAAATCTGCTTTATTCGTTGGACAGCAGGGCTACATCATTTACAAGAAAGGAGATTATAGCCTCGTGGGCTAATTATATCTAGCTAATCTTGCTAATTTGTGGCCGCTGTTGTTTTATGGTTGCTACTGTCGAATGCCTGAAAAAAAGGTTAAGTCTGAATCGTTTTTGGGCAGTTTTGGCCTTCAGTGGCTGGTGGCCTTTCGATCAGGAAGAAAGTGGCTTGTTTTCACTTGGGCCAATCAGTGCCATTGGATCTTATTTGAACGGCAGATGGGTGGGCGCATGTTACGCCGTGACTGCCAAGAGGCAAGTCACCTGATGCCAGTCCGCCTTTGTCAAGCCCCCGCAGAGTGGCTTCAGGCACCAACGTGTTGTCTACCCTGGAAAATGTTTCTAGTACAGTTTTTCTACTCCGTTTGGACCTGAAACATTAAATTATATAAATACAAGTGTAAACGAAAAAGGTATAAAATACAAAGAGTTAAACCAACGATAAAACTATAGAATTGATGATTTTGGGTTCCTATTAAACACATAATACAAAAAAAAACCTAAAAGGTTTTGGATTGCCACTCAACAAGCTTGTTTGTTAAATTAATTAGCTTAACTTAAATACATTTGTGGAGAATAATATTGAACTTTAGGAATTATTTGAGCATCAACACTAGTTACCAACATGTTCGCAACATTTCTAGATCTTCTCCTTGGCAAGTGCATCACTAATTTCTTCGGAGGCAGATTTGACAGTACCATGCCCCTGGATATATCTATGGAGGACAGAAGAGGCCCAATAATAATAGGGCGGCTCAAGCCTACAACTCAATGTCCATAAAAAAAATCAGGAGAGAAGAGAGAGCAGGAAGCTTCGTGCTTCAGTTAGCCAAGAGCCAGCAGTGTCGTCAAATCTTTTTTTTTTTCATAAGACAAGGCACTATCTTCATCACAATGCCAAAGGATGTCGCCGACAAAGAAAAATATGGCAGATTAGACCAGACATGCCAACAGAGGAAGATAAGAATGTTCCTCTGGGTATGTGGGTGAACAGCATGTGGGCTTTGACCAATTTGTAGGTCTGGAGCCCTGTTTTCAGAGAATGTTGCGAGTCGACAAAAGGGCAATCAACGAACAGATGGTCGGAGATCTCAGGAGTGGAGCATCTTCCACAGCCCAAGCGCTGGGAGCAATGTTTGAGGTGAAGTGAAGATGTCTGATGAGAGCAGCAGCAAAAAGTATTGATATTACATTGAGCTCCATGCAAAGAAACCACACAAGGAATTGCATGTATATCATACTCCATAGTCACATTTTATAAGAAAACTACTGAAAACCGAAAACAGCCTAGCTAAAACAATTTTCTCACAGAAAGTAGACATGGAAGAAACAGAGGGTGAGAGGGGTGTAGGCAAGGACGAGCACGGATAAATAATTGGTCGGGCGTCAACACCAGAAGGCAGGAGCACACAGTCACAAATGGTTTCCCAGGCAGGAAAAACCGAGGAAGTACACCCCAAAGCAGCCACGGACCTCACTACTCTCCAAATTGAGCTGCAACCAGCAAACTTTATACCTAGTGCAGAACAAAGAAAAGCATAAACATAAAAATGGCAGGGCAGACTATTGAGTTTTGCCAGCTAGCTATTACAGAACCTATTTCCTGAATTATTTAAATATTATAAAACTGATAGTAGAAGCATATGGCTATTTCATCACAACAGTCATGATATGTAATACCCCAGCCCTCCGCAGGACTCAAAACTACGTCAGCAAGGAAAGGCATGTTACTAACCATATAATTTACTCCTAGTTAACTTCACAATTCTGAATCCTTTTGCATGCTACCACCAAATTCCGCAAATAAGTACACTATGAACATCTACACAAAGTTCTACAACTTCTTTGTTCACACAGAAATAATATTCGGCCATCTTCATGAGTTAAATCGCACTGCAAGGTTCCTGCATATGAATATTGCACAGGAAAAAACACAGATCGATGGATTGGAGAATAGCTCAAATTCAAATTGCCGAAACATTGATCTAGTCGACCAAATTTCACATTCTTAAAGCCTCCTGAAACAGCCTACCTGAACCAATTTTGTTACAGAAAGTAGACATGCAAGAAGCGGAGGGTGTAGGCAGGAGGAACAGGGGGAACTAGCTAGTCAAATTACACAGCAAAGCCAGACAAAGTTTTTGAGCCATACCCTCAAAACAATAAAATGCAGAATCCTAGAAGTTTCAGACCGACTAATTAAGAGAACAGTGAGTTTGCCAACTAAATATTGCAGAATCTACTCCGTATATTTATTTAAATATAAATTTATAAACACACGCAGGGGAAGCATATGGTGTACTTCATAATAACAGACATGATAACTAATAAATCTTTCTCAGGTGGCATATGTTGCACCTTATGGGTATGTTTTGTTGGTACCCAAAACCAGCCCTATAACTTTTTTTGGTCATAGCCAAACAAGTTATGCTTCTTTCAATGATTCCAATTTCTTTTTGGCAGGCCCATACCAACTTGCCAACTCTATTTCATATTCTTGTCAACGTTGACCAAATCATAGGCAAACAAAACCTTGGCTGAAATTTTAGCTAGTGCCAAATATTTTATAGTGTCAACTTAGTCTCAAACCTAGACACACAAAAAAGTACAGTGGATTAAAAATAAGTAGTATCTGATTTTAACAGAGCTGTTGAAACAGAGAAATACCTGAGTAAAACTGATATGAAGTTAGTTTGCACATTCAATGGTAAAACTAGCATACCACATCATTCCTGAACAGAAAACAGATAACAGAATCAAAGATTCAGTTAGTGATGTTGTGACATGTAGCACCTCCCGATCAGAACAGTCATAAATGAGGAACACATACCTCTGTAAAAAAACTAATCAGTATTTGCTCTACCCACTGACAGGATGGATATCCAGGACATGTACAGTGCCAAATGCAATCAGCACTAAATACACTTGGCAAGCACTGCAGTATTGCATCTTTATGTGAGCTTTGTGTTTCGAACTAGGCATCATGCAAGTTGTTTTTTCTTTTCACACCACATCAACAAACTGAGTACAATCAATATCTCGGAGAGTAATCTTGCCAAGAAGTAGATCGCTTGCATGTATGGAGCACAGTGGGAGGCATTTCTTGTTCAGACTCTCATGAATGGCACTTAGTCCTTGGACCCACTTCTTTTCATTCAAAGGATCGACATTTAGTCGATTCTGCAAAAGACGTATCCGGTAAAGGGCAGTGTCTGTTCCAGCACAAAAATGAGCCAGGCATGGGAGGGAGGTGTCATCGACCGCCAACCTGACCAAGATCATTGTCAAGGCTCCATCCACAGGCTTTGGATCAGAGAGATTCTTATCACCCATCATCTTGATCTCCTTCTCTGTTGGAAAGTACACTTCAGGCACTCCATTTTCATTTGTCACCTTCAAATCCTTTGTATAATGGCTAATTGCTTGCCTCTTGGTGCACTCATGCTTCTCCGCCAATGTCAAGAAGCAGGAGAACCTCAAGTGATAACTCACAACAATCTTGACCATCTTGAAATTCCGACAGCAGCAGAAAAAATCTAGCCACCTCCTCCCCACACCAGCATACCATTTGATGATATCTGCATCATCCAGACAGATAAGTAGCTTTATTGGCCGTGGCCGTCCCATGGAATTTGTGAACCCGGCCAACTTTACCGCCTTTCCTACAAGCTCTATTGGTGCATTGACCCTCATCTTCAACTCTGTCAAGTCCTCAACAATCCTATTCTCATATTGTCTCTCGTCCTCCTCCTCTGCTAGCATCTCCTCATCCTCAGTTATGTCATGGCCCCTCCTCGGCATCAAAAACCTGTCGAGTGTTTCCTGTAATTGGTCATAGGAGTCCACCAATGTTGATGGCAACTGATCCCTCACCCTATTCAGTGACAAGAAGTCACCAGATGTGAACAATCGGTGCCAATGACGGCGATGCTCCTGCGACTTGAAGTATTCAACCACTGTCTCCTCTGCCCAACCCTTGAACTCCTGCCGCACTTCATCCTCAATTCGGAAGGCAAACTCAAACTCATGCCCACGCCTCACCTTCTTGAACAAGTGGTTCAGTATCTTCAACCCAAGCTTCTTCCTCCGTGTCTCCCGGGCATTCTTCAGCTCCTGCGCCTCCGCTGCTTTCCTTTTCAGATACATCTTCCTTGCCCTCTTCGCCTTCTCAGACATGGGAGGGTGTAAGACTGACGGCGGCACGGCTTGAAACTCCATCCCCAGGAATTCCATCTTCTCTGACGCTGCACTGTGAACTGAGCTACCAAACCTGTCAACCTTCACCTCCAAATCCCTCTCAAACACTGAGAGGATCCTATCTCTGACCTCAAGTGTGAGCATCTTCGACCCGGAGGTCACAACCATCGTCTCGTCGAGATACCGGACGGCATACACTCTCACAGGCGTATGCCGAACGCTGTCATCCTTAACTCTGGGATTTTTCTTGTGCACCTCCTCCCGGATGGCCATCACCTCTCTATCCACAGGATCAAAGAAAATGTTCAGCATCGTGCTGGTGAGCTCCGACTCCTGCGGGAGCCCGCGGCAGAGCTCAGAGCCGCCGAGCTCGAAGGCTATCGCATCGGAGAGGAACATCTCGCGCAGATAGTCCAGGAACCCGGGGTCGTCGACCTTGCCGGAGATGGCGTCGAGAAGGCGACGGACGTGGCGGGTGGCAAAGGGCTGGCGCGGGATGGCGACGCGGAAGAACCAGGTGGCGTTGGGGATGGAGCGGAGGTAGCGGATGGCGGCGTGGCGGGCACGGTAGGCGAAGGTGGCTGCGCGCGGGGCGAAGACGGCGTCGAGGGCGGAG